TCTGTTAGCTGCCTGAATGTCTTCTTTGGCAAAGTGCCTCTTCATATCCTTTGCCCATTTTTTAATTGGGTTGTTTGTCTTTTTGTTGTTGAGGTTTTGCAGTATCTTGTAGATTTTAGAGATTAGATGCTGATCAGATTTGTCATAACCAAAAATTTTTTCCCAGTCTGTAGGTTGTCTTTTGACTCTTGGTGAAGTCTTGATGAGCATAATAAGTGTTTGATTTTTAGGAGCTCCCAGTTATCTAGTTTCTCTTCAGGTGTTTATGCATTGTTACTTATGGTTTGTATTCTGTTTATGCCATGTATTAGGGCTCCTAGAGTTGTCCCTGTTTTTTCTTCCATGATATTTATCATTTTCGATTTTATATTTAGGTCTTTGATGCATTTTGAGTTAGTTTTTATGCATAGTGTGAGGTATGGCTCTTGTTTCCTTTTTTTGTAGGTGGATATCCAGTTATGTCAGCACCATTTATTAAAGAGACTGTCTTTTCCCCAGTTAATGGACTTTGGGCCTTTGTCAAATATCAGCTGCTCATAGGTGAATGAATTTACGTCTGGATTCTCAATTCTGTTCCATTGGTGTATGTATCTGTTGTTGTACAGGTACCAGGCTGTTTTGACTACTGTGGTGGTATAATAGGTTCTAAAATTGGGTAGTGTGAGGCCTCCCACTTTGTTCTTCTTCTTGAGTAATGCTTTACTTATTTGGGGCATCTTCCCTTTCCATATGAAGTTGGTGATTTGTTTCTCCATCTCATTAAAACATGCCGTTGGAATTTGGGTCGGGATTGCATTGTATCTGTAGATCACTTTGGGTAGAATTGACATCTTCACAATGTCGAATCTTCGTATCCATGAGCTAGGCATGTTTTTCTACTTATGCAGGTCTCTTTCGGTTTCTTGCAGTAGTGTTTTATAGTTTTTGTTGTGTAGGTCTTTTACATCTCTGGTTAGATTTATTCCTAATTATTTTATCTTCTTGAGGGGTAGTGTAAATTGTATTGATTTGGTGATTTCCTCTTTGAAGTTCTCTTTGTTGGTGTAGAGGAATCCAACTGTTTTTTGTATGTTTATCTTGTATCCTGATACTTTGTGGAAATCTATTAGTTTTAGTAGTTTTCCTTTGGATTCTTTAGGGTTTTCTGTGTATAAGATCATATTATCTGCAAACAGAGATACTTATACTTCTTCCTTACCAATTTGGATGTCCTTTATTTCTTTTTCTAGCCCAGTTGCTCTGGCTAGGACCTTCAGCACAGTGTTGAATAAGAATGGTGATAAAGGGCATCCTTGTCTGGTTCCCGTTCTCAGGGGGAATGGTATTGGTGAAAATTTCTTAATGAGGGAGAACACAGCACAGTGGTTAAGCACTTGGCTGCTAACCAAAATGTCAGTGGTTCGAACCCACCAGCTGCTTCTTGGGAGAAGGATGTGGCAGTCTGCTTCCGTAAAAAATTAACAGCCTTGGAAACCCTATAGGGCAGTTCTACTCTGTCCTGCAGGGTCACTGTGAGTCGGAATCGACTCGGCAGCAGTGGATTTGGGTTTGGTGTTGGTAGTAAACAGAAAGGAGCCCTGGTGGCACAAGGGTTAAGTGCTCAGCTGCTTTGTGAAAGGTTGACGGTTCGTACCCACCCAGCAGCTCTGCGGGACAAAGACCTGGCAATGTGCTTCGGTAAAAATTACAGCCAAGAAGATCCTATGGGGAAGTTCTGCTTTGTGACATGGGGTCACTATGAGTCAGAATCCAACAACAAAAACAATACCAAAAAATTCAGTTCTGGATTAGGAGGTGATGAAGGAATCAGCTGGTAGGAGGAACTGAGGTCTGGTGAACAGGTTGAAAGGTCTAGGGTTGATGCTGTCTGTAATCCAAATACCAAGCCTGGCTCTCCTATGCCAGCGAGATCCTATGTTACCTGACAGGTATTATCACTATCCCCCCTGGCTTTTCAGCCTTCTCTGTGTGTCATATTCACATCCACCTTGGTAATCAACCTGTTCCTGTTGGTGCAGAGGGAGGAGAAGCAGCTTGAGGCATCATTAGATGCATTGCTGAGTCAAGCAGCTGATCTGAAGAACTCACTGGGGAGTTTCATTTATAAGCTGGAGAACGAGTATGACCGGCTGACCTGGTAAGGGTTGCCCCCGCAGGCTGGGGAGGGCTCTATGGGTGGGGAGCCAGGCCTCCTGGCAGGTAGCACAGCTGCAGTGATGTAAGCACTTACCAGTTTGCAGACAACTTTTGATTTGGAAAGAGCTGGGTTTCTTAACATTTAACAGTTAGAGTTTGGCTTAGAGTTTCCAGGGTAAAAGTAGAGAAATGCCTAGTTTCCCAACCTAGGTTCTTTTTAGTTTCTGATTCTTACTTTTTTACTTTTCTAGTAAAGAGGTCCTCTCTCAGCCTACCAGTTCAGCTCTGTGCATGCTGGATCTGTCACCACAAATGTGGCTGAGTCTTTTAGATTCAACCTACTCTAGAAGTGTGGATCTTGATTCTAGACTGGAAAAGAGGCTTTTACCCAGTTGCTGAGTTTTTAATGATAATAGTGGAGCCGTGGTTCCTATTTTGCCTCTGTTCCTCACTCCATTCAAACAGTGAACAGCCCTTTTCCTACATCTGTGACAGAAATTGAAAGTATGTCCCTCTTTCCTAATCCCACAATCCCCATGAGCAAGTCTGGCCAGTCAGGGCTGTGAGTCTTTTTGGGATGAGTCTAGGTATTCTTAGTCTGAAGGACCCCTTTGAGGCTACTGTACTGTAACTACCCCAGGAAAGGGGTGGAACATTCTGACACCTTCTTACTACCCTCAGGCCCTCTGTCCTGGACAGCTTTGCCCTGCTCTCGGGACAGATGAACACTCTGAACAAGGTCTTGAAGCATGAAAAGACACCACTGTTCCGTAACCAGGTTATCATCCCTCTGGTGTTGTCCCCAGACCGAGATGAAGATCTCATGGTAAGGGGAGGAGAAGGGTACAACATGGTTGTACATCATGGTTGAGGGCCTAGAGCATAATGGTTGATTAATTATTCTAGAAGTTCTGAATATGGAGTAGTGAGTGGTAATAAGAAGTGAGGGCTATATTTTGGAGGCCTTGTTTTTTGCCTTTCCGGGGAGCCACTCCCAAATACGATTGTAATAACCTGGGGCCTATGTCACCAAAACAAAGACCTTTCTCCTCCAATGCCTGTCTCTAACAAGAAGTCTGTTCTTTTGTGACTTTGCCTATTTTAGTCTTTGATTAAAATGTAGCAGGGAAAAAAGGTTTAATTTGCCTTTCAGTCTGGTAGAGATAGGGTGTGAGGAGATAGAAATAAAGGGTGGAATGGAGGGGACAGTGTCCTAGGAAGCTAGATATTATGAGTCTCAGGTTGTGTTTTCCCTGAAAATGTACTTTTACCTGCGGAAGAGACTGTATATGGGACCAGATTGAATCTTCTTAGAGTACACAGTAGGAAATTCTGTGTGTTGCAGCGACAGACTGAAGGGCGAGTACCTGTTTTCAGCCATGAGGTGGTCCCTGACCATCTGAGAACCAAGCCTGACCCTGAAGTTGAAGAGCAGGAGAAGCAACTGACGACAGACGCTGCCCGGATTGGTGCTGATGTAGCCCAGGTTGCACTGAGTCACTGCCCTGGTGCCCCTCAACCCCTGAGTCCCTCCGTGAGAAGCTAGGCAGTACCATTCCTGTCTAGCAGGGATGGGCAATTGGTTACCCCTAAGTCTGTCGAGGAGCCCTTATGGCACAATGGTTAAGAGCTTGGCTGCTAACCAAAAGGTCAGCAGTTCAAATCCACCAGCTGCTGCTTGGAAACCCTAAGGAACAGTTCTGCTCTGTCCAGTAGGGTCTCTGTGAGTCAGAATTGACTCGACAGCAACAGTTTTTTTTTTTGTTTTTTTTTTTTTTTTAAGTCTTATGTGGGGGCTTGTGTGTTGCTATGATGCTGAACAGGTTTCAGCAGAGCTTCCAAATTAAGATGGACTAGGAAGAAAGAGTTCGCAGTCTAATTCCAAAAATCAGCCAAGTGAAAACCCTTTCATCACAATGGTTTGATCCCATTGTGCATGGAGTTGCCACGAATCAGGGGATGAGTTGATAGCAGCTAATGACAACACTTGGCCCCTGGAAGAGCACAAGGAAGAAACTTCCCCGCAATCATTTCTTGCTTGCTATAATCTCTGCATAAATTTGTGTGTTACAGAAGCAGATCCAGAGCTTGAATAAAATGTGTTCAAACCTCCTGGAGAAAATCAGTAAAGAGGAGCGAGAATCAGAGAGTGGAGGTATGGAGGGCTGATGGCAAAAATGGAGTGAGAGAGAGGAATAAGATCACCGAAGTAGGAATCATTGTCTTATTAGTAGGAAAATGAGGGCACAAGAATGAGCTGCATAGGAAAGGATTTACATCCATTTTGTTAGCCTTTCCTATTTAAGGCCAGCTCTGGAGCAGGTGGAGGAAATGGGCAGAATGAGAAGGGAGAATTCTGAGATAGGCTTGGGGGTCCTCTGTCTCTGCCTCTGCCTCTGTCTCTGGGTTGCCAGCGACTCTAGATGCTGCTGAAGGCAGAACTCCAAGCCTTGGCACTCACACTAGTCTTCCAGCTGCTGGGTCCAGTCCAGGGCCAAAAGCATACTTCATGGTCCTCACTTGCCTTTTCCTTCAGGTCTCCGACAGAACAAGCAGACCTTTAACCCTGCAGACACCAATGCCTTGGTGGCAGCTGTTGCCTTTGGAAAAGGGCTGTCTAATTGGAGACCCTCAGGAAGCAGTGGTCCTGGTCAGCCAGGCCAGCCAGGAGCTGGGACAATCCTTGCAGGAGCCTCAGGATTACAGCAGGTGCAGATGGCAGGAGCTCCAAGCCAGCAGCAGTCTCTGCTCAGTGGGGTTCAGATGGCCCAAGCAAGTCAACCAGGTAAGGTGGTAGAGATTGAAATGTAGCTGACCTGGAGTAGGGAAGTGGGAATAAGCTGGCTTATCTGGGCCCCTAGTATCCCCAGACCTGGAGATTTTCCCCTTTTCTCCTTTGGACCATGGTCCAGAAAACAATTTTCATGAATAAAAGTTTCATTCTGAGACTCTGCAACAGGCACTGGAGAGTGAGGAAGAACTTTGAGTAGCAGAAACTGCTCTTCCCTTGCCACCTCTGACTTAGACTTCTGTCTCAGCTACCCTTCTGTCCCATTTACTTGGGATATGAGGTCTGTTAGAGTTTTTTCTTAGATACAGAAACCAATGGTTAGACCTTAAGGCCATTTGGTAGGTGCATCAGGAATTGACAATCAAATAAGTTTACCATTCCTACATGTATTCATTTCTGTGTATTCTGTCCCTCCTGCTTTTGGGTTCCTGCCTTCTCTCCTCCTCATTTTCAGTAATTATGAGAACAACCTAGAGTTGTTCAGACGCAATCAGCTGCAAGAGGTATTTCTTCCAAACTGTCTAGGAAAAGGGACAATTGAAATAAGAGAGAAAATAGAATATAGTACTCTTCTGCCTGTGACATTAAATTGTGGGGAGGGCGGTGTCACACAGCTTTAGCTCTCTCTTCCAAAGGTAGATTAGCAGAAGGCTCTGCTGGAGTATGTTCTGACCCCCTCCCACTATTCCCCCGTACCACCACCTTCTTCCTAGACACCTTGAGGGAGAGAAGATCTGGGGGAGGAACCACACCTCTGTTCACTAAAATATATGCTACCCAGGGTCAGGTGCCACAGAGGTTCTGAGAAGGTAGAGGAGTGAGTAGAAGGGGATTTGAGAGACCACATTACTGATTTACCATGAAGGTCTACCTTGCCTCAGATGTCTTTCTCCTTGTTTCTTTTAGGGAAAATGCCAAGTGGAATAAAAACCAACATCAAGTCAGCTTCAATGCATCCCTACCAGCGGTGAGTGTGGCTGGAAACCTCCATACCCAGGTGCTTTTTGCAGAGCTGGGCAGAGAAATTAACTTTTGCCCAACACTGACATAGATGGGTACAATAAAAGAATACAGGCTTTCGGCAACAGACAAACCCCATCTCCACCACTGACTAGCTGTTTGACTTTGAGCAAGTGACCTAATTTTTCTGAACTTGTTTTCTCATCTGTAGTGTGGAGGTGGTAACACCTACCTCAGGATTGTTGTGAGGACTTAAGTGAGAAAATGAATGTAAAACACTTAGCACAGTACACGAAATAATGAGTATTCCAAAACATGATAGTTTCTGCAGCCACTTCTCCCCACAGCCCTCCGCAATCCTTGATCCAGGACTTACACTGATCTGATACTGCTTCATATCAGGGTGAGCTGATGGACACAAAATCTTGGTCCTCTCAGTTCTATTTGAAAGCCTGTACTTATATTGTGCTGCCAGAAACTGTAGCAGCCTCTATATCCTTTAGAGGCACACTGTCTCTGCAGGCCCCTCCTGCCCAGGCTCCATCCTGGCCATTCTTCCACGCTTTAGGTGAAGGGGCTTCTAGGCTGGGACAGTCTGTCTACCTGCAGCTCTGGTGAAGCATGTGCCTGCTCTATTCTCCATCCTCTGCGAAGCCAACTCGGCCCTTACCTGGGAAGTAGTCACAACGTCCTCCATCCTTTACCACCACCCCCCACCCCCGTGCACATGAAGGAAGATGCTGAATGGCCATTAAGTGGGGGTTTCCTCAGGAAATGGCTCTGTCAGGCAGAACTGTGGGAGAAAGGGTCATGTTCTTCGCACATGAAAAAGCCCCTTCTTCCCCTGGACTCATTGTTCTTATTTTGGAGGAAGGGGGAAATTGCAGTTAAGACTTTCTCATCAGGATCAAGTTGTTCTCAAAACAGAGCCTGGTTCCTGGACTTTAACCAGGATGGCTTTCCTCTATTCCACAGAGCCTATTGCTCAAATAAGAGCCAGGTAGATTGTGGGAGCGGGCAGCCCCCAATACGTTTGCCTGCTTTTATAAAGTTGAAGAACAAAGTGAGTTTGGATATCCAGACTCCACTGCAACCTCCTTTGTGGACAAGGACTGGGGTTGATGCAGCAGAAGTGGACCAAAGGATCTCTCTGAATAAAGTTATTTAAATTGATGGGCAGTGACTCAGGGTTGTCTGACAGCAATTTATGAGAGGGCTGTATAAGGATCAGAAACAATTTCAAGGGAGCTGCAAAGTAGTTCTGATTTGCTCTCTATAAAAAGTTTTCTTAGCTTTAATTAGCTTTGATCTGAAAGTTCTGAGACTTCCCTTCTGCCCATGCCTTCCAGTTGCCTTTTTTCTGATCTGTTCTCCCACCACACACAAGTACTTGGCTAGCATTTGTTGCGAGGCAGAATTCCACCAGCCTGTGGCAGCAAAGGACTGGACAAATGGTTCCAGATGTCACATCCATTCTGTTCCATCAGGATGAGGAGTGGTATCCACAAAGCTCACTGACCAGCACAGGACACAGCAGCATAGCTAGTCCTCTGAGTCAAGGGCAGACATTTCCCCCACTTAGAACTGCCCGACTCCATTAGCACACACAAGTTTTCTTTATCTTCTGACCTGTTCTTTTCCACTGGAAATGTCAAAGCTAATTATATTGCGTATATAATTCAAACTGCTCATCTAAAACCCCCGGAGCATCTTTTGGTGACTGGTGCCCTTTACTCCACCAAAAGATTTCTTCCTTTTGAGTGGCACCAACCCCAAGTTTCTTTATTGTTCTAGGCTAATACTTCTTTCCCACCACAGTATTTGAAATGGATTCTTTGTCCTCCAAGAATGGGAAATGTCCTGCTGCTCAACAGGACCTTACCTACATCTTGTCCCCTTAAGCAAATACTCCTTACTCTGGAGGCACCCACACTTGTGTATTCCTCACTCCGGGAGCACATGTTCTTATTTCCATCCCCACCTCAAAAAAAAAAAAAAAAAAAAAAAAAAAATCCTCTGGTGTATACAAACCTCTGTAGTATCTCCTGCTTTGGGGCTAATACAACCCAGTAAATGTCTCACTATGGAGCTCCCATCCCTAACACAGTCATCACACTCATTGATAGGATGGCTTTTCCTCAGGAGGGAATATTTACGGAGTTTTCTTTGAAGAAGGGGACATGACCCACTTACTTGCTCAGATTTAGGATTTGCAGAAGATGACTGTCCCCACTTTGGTATTAGTCCTCTGTTTCTGACTACCCTGTTATGCCTAGGAATTGTGCTTTCTCCTATCCTTGGGGCCCTGGGGAAAGAGATTAAGTCATTGCCCCCCAGGTTTGTGTCTAGAATGGAGAAGGAAGCAGCAGTTGTGCAAAACCTCAAGATGTTACTACAGCCCAGAATTTATCCAGCTTAAGTTGGAGGCTTCCTGAGCTGTGAATCAATGTCAGTGTAATTCCCATTGCCTAGGATCTCTCCCTCTCCAGCTCAGCCTTAAGACTGGGATTCAGTCATTGCTGAAGCCTCCCTTTTGGTCATTGCCCAGTCACTGCATCCTCTTCTCTGTCTGGTGTCTATTGCTATCCTTACCTAGCTGGCTCACCTCACTCTGTATTTTCTTGGGAAATAGCCAAGATAGATAGGTTGTAGCTAAGTACTCCTCTGGACTCCATAATGTGTTCTGGGGTGGGGTTGACATTAAGACTGAACTGGAGGACATGTATTGTGCGTCTCCAGTCCTGCTGCCGAAAGGAAGAAGCTGAACTCTGCAGGAATGCCCCAGTGCAGGGCTGGCCCCTTTTCCCACCCCCATCCCACCTCCCCCAGGCAGCTGGAAACAACCTCTCCCTTTGTCTGAGCTTCTTATAGAGAATAATCCTCCTTATGGACAATGTATTCTCTGTGCCCTGTGGACACAGCAGCCCTGTGAGCTGATCCCAGCACCAGGCAGGACGGAGGCTGAATCCTTCCAAACGCCCACCTTGGGTCAACTCCTGATTACTATCCAGAGAAACTGCTAAAACGAAAAACCAAACCCCTTGCTGTCAAGTCGATTCCAGCTCATAGCGACCCTATAGGACGGAGTAAAACTGCCCCGTAGGGTTTCCAAGGAGTGGTTTATGGATTTGAACTGCCAACCTTTTGTTTCGCAGCCGAAATCTTAACCACCGTGTCACTGCTAAGGGGCATATATTTCCTTCCCATCTGCCTTTTCTATTTGCCCCAGGTTTGGGGGAGTATTCTACTGAAGTTTAGCATTGCCAGCAGTAGGGCCAGGGACTGTGGTCTCTTTTCTGTTCAGTCCTGAGGGTTCAGAGTGCCAAACTGCTGGAAGCTAGGTATCGCTTATGCCTGAAAAGTCTTCCGGTGCACAGAGCCTAACACTTGGAAAGGGTTTAACACCCTACAGATGGAGCTTTCTGATTGGAATAGAAGGCAGACTCAACTCATCTGACAGGGCCATGATGACCCAACACTTCAACATGGGTTTTGTCCCATAGGAAAACTTCCTCTCTTCTTCGCTTTAACTTCTGTCTCTTATTCTTGAGCTCCTGCATGTCACTGAGGCAGATCCTAGGTCCCTATTTTGGTCTCTTGATGAGTTTACAATATCTCAGGATGTCAGTTACCACTTGGACATGGGAGCTTTCCCAAGTGCATCATGGACAAGGGACCTGATTTCTCTGGGCCTGTTTTCTCACCTGGATTACCTGAGTGATTCTACGTCTGCAGTCTGTGGCAATGATTCTCAAGCTCATTTATCCCAATGCATTTTTCTGTTTTCCTTATCTACAACTTGACATACTAACTTACAGTTTAACATACAAACATTCCTCTAAGCCACTAAACAAACAAAAAAACCAAACTCATTGTAGTTGAGTTGATTCTGACTCATAGTGACCCTATAGGACGGAGTAGAACTGTGCCATAGAGTTTCCAAGGAGCGGCTGGTGAATTTGAACCACCAACCTTTTGGTTAGCAGCTGAGCTTTTAACCACTGCATCACCAGTACTCCACTACTACCCTAAAATTGTTTTCTAGCTTTCATATCGTTCTCTAGTGAAAACTCATAGATACAGAGATAGCTCTATTATATGTCAGAAGTTACCTTCTCACTCTCAGGCAGCCTTCTCTCTCCTGCCAGGTGAGATAATAGGTACCAGAGGAATTCTTCCAGTAGGCAGTAAATTATACTTTTTCCATATGACAATCATCTTCTTCCCTATTGAGTCAAATCTAAAGTATTGAGTCAAATCTAAAGGGACCTGGGCTGCTCCCCTTCCTGCTTTCGCTTTGCCATCTACTGCCTTCCCTTGCTCTCACTCTAATTTCCCTAGTTTGTGGGTCATTTTGATTCTTCATCTCCTCTTATCACTACTACCCCCGCCATATTCTTTTCTTAAAAATTGTGATAAAGTCTGTATATATATAATTAAAATTTGCTATTTTAATGTGTACAGTCCAGGGTTGTACATCGATCACCACTATTAGTTTCTAAAAGTTCTTCATCGCCGCCTATAGAAACTGTACCCATTAAGCATTAACTCCCCACTTACCCCACCCCCCAGCCCATGGTAACCAGTAATCTACTTTCCATCTCTTATGCATTTGCTTATTCTAGATATTTCATGTAAGTGGGATCATAAAATACTTGTTTTTTTGTGTCTGGCTTATTTTTTTAGCATAATGTTTTCAAGGTTCATCTATACCATAGCATGAGTTAGAACTCATTCCTGTTTACAGCTGAATAATATTCCATTGTATGTATATATTTATTACATTTTGTTTATCCATTTATTCCATTCCATTCATCTGTTGATGGACATATGAGTGGTTTCCACCTCTTGGCTATTGTGAATAATGCTGTAATGAACATTTGAGTCCCTGCTTTCACTTCTTTTGGGTATATACCCAGGAGTGGAATTGCTAAGTCATATGATAATTCTCTGTTTAACTTTTAATTTTTTTTTTATTGTACTTTAAGTGAAAGTTCACAGCTCAAGTTAGTTTCTCATACAAAAATTTATACACACATTATTATGCAACCCTAGTTGCTCTTTCTGTAATGTGACAGCACACTCCTTTCCACCCTGGGTTTCCCGTGTCCATTCAGCCAGCTTCTGACCCTCTCTGCCTTCCCATCTCGCCTCTGGACAGGAGCTGCCCATTTAGTCTCATGTATTTACTTGAACTAAGAAACACACTCTTCATGAGTATCATTTTATGTCTTATAGTCCAGTCTAATCTTTGCCTGAAGAGTTGGCTTTGGGAATGGTTTTAGTTCTGGATTAACAGAGAGTCCAGAGAAGTATTTAACTTTTTG